TCGAAAATTTTTAAGTTACTCAGAATATGATTTCAAAAAAATTACAACTAATATAAGTTGGCGCAGCAATTACACAATTTTTGCTGTACAAAATCAAGTAAAAAAGCAAAACTTACATCAATCCGATAGCATTCCGGTCTTTGATCGGTTGAAACCGGACTGAAGTGAATGGTGCGTAGACTGAATTTCAAAATTCCTTTTGATATGATGAGAGCATCTTCAGGCCTGAATGTGATATGACGTTCTTTCAATAACTCTCGTAAAACACTTGAGTTTTTTCGGATTTCTTTCACTTCTTTTTCAGTGAATTTCAGCAAAACGCAATCTGAAAAAAGCTGCATTAGCAAGCAAATAAGTTGAATTTCTATGATTTTCGAACTTAAAAAAGTGTAAGTAGAAACTAAAGAAATCCATTGAAAACTACCAGCAGCATGGAAAACTCCAAGACTAAAAAGCTGAATCGAATTAAAATGAATTTTGAGGCTAAATCATAGTTAAAAGAAATTAAAATCATCACGCTTCTTAACTTTACTATAAAAACAGAAAATACAATGAATCTTGAAAAAAGAATCTTAGGAAAACAAGACTAGATAAATTTAGGTAGAAGTTCGAGAAAGAGACGAAATAAATCGCAAAAGCACTCAACATTCGGCTCGTCTGATTTTTTGAATCACAAAAGATACCCACAAAAAGGAAAAGTCCACAGCAGTACTGGTACCCAAGACAAAAATATCAAAATTGTTTTAGGAATTAGAACTGAAACGCAAAAAAAAATTTAGGATAAAAGCAGAAGAAATAAAAAAAAAAAAATAATAAAAAACTCAAGATGAAAATCATTATACCGTGAATTTCGGTAACATCAAATTCATAGGTGTTATTATAAACTGTCACATTAGCAATACGATTTATACAAAATTCCATCGGTGGTATATCGTCCACTGCGATATGCCAAGTTTTTTGCAATCGTGGATCATCAATTGAAACTGGTGTTCGAATACCCTGATCCTTTAGCGTATCATATGAGAAACTTGCAAATGAATCATCTTGTATGGAGTAGTACTGAAATACTTAAATAACTAATTATAAAATCAACTAAAAACTACGAAACTACGAACTTAAGTACGAAAAAAAATTTACTGAAATGCTTAAATAATTAATTACGAAATTAACCAAAAAAAACTACGGAACTACGAAATTAACTACGAAAAAAAACTACGAAAAGATAGAGCTAAAAAACTCAGCTTAATGCAACTACTTCACGTGTTTCGCCATTTAGAAGAAGGATGTCTGAATGAAGAAATATCCAGAGTTGTAGTAGCGGTGTTTAAATTAAATAGGTTACTTTAATGACTATCTGACCGACGGTCACTTAAGTAACCAGCAACTCAAAACTAGCCAATCCATGCCAAATACTATGATTTGCACTTAATTCAGGTACTTAATTACTCTGTCCAAGGTGATTTCGTCAAAAATCGAAAAGTCAGAAACCCCCGCCGTATTCGCTTTATATGAGGAGCGAAGGCGCTCTCAAGCATTTTGAAGGTATCAGGTACCAAAAACAGACAACCCCCGGCCAATAATTGCACTGACGGACATAAGTATACATTATTTTAAGCATTTTCTGAAGCTGGTAATTCATTTTTTTAACAACAAATCAGCTGGTAACTTCTCCATTCATCTCTATTCTAACGTCACTTAACTGTCTGAATGTGTCTTCCACTACAATACTGGCCTTCTCAGACTGCGTTCAAAACACTGTTTGGGTACCATTCAATAATCTGCTTTGTCTGCTTATTTTTTTTCAAGCTGTGCGACCCAACCAGCCCAGCTCTTTTTTCAAGTGCCATAACAACATCATTCACATCACACTGGGACGATCATAGTACTTCACTGGAAATGTGCTGCAACCTATACGCATCTCCCATAACATCGCTCCCCGGCTCGATGGGCAACTTTTCCTTCTCAGCAAACTTGGTATTCTAGTGTTTCACTTCCACACAACAAATCTGTGACATTAGTGGGAATGAAAAATGCTGCAGTGATAAAAAAAGAATGCTAAATAAAAAAATGCGGCCGTTAGGAGGACCGTTCGTAATATTAATAAATGGCAACGCGCACCAGACTAGCCGGTGCGATCATGCGTTTTGTGCAATTCAGTCATCGAACGATTGCCTGTTAATTATTTTCACTGCTTTGTACTTTAGTCTATGCAAAAATAGTACAAACATTGGACAACAGTTAAAAATTTCACGCACCAGCGTATGAAAGCTGAATTCGAAACCTTGAAGGATGAATATCTTAGTTAAAAATTTCACGCACCAGCGTATGAAAGCTGAATTCGAAACCTTGAAGGATGAATATCTTTCCGTAATTCCCGAGTTAATAGTTTACCCGCCAAATTTTTAAAGGGGCCGTATGTGGTAACCGAGAGAGCGAGAACGCTGAATTTGAATGGGCAAAGTTGAGCGTTGGCAGGGGGTCTTTAATCTTAAATTTCAGCCCCCTAGACTCCGTGGTTCCCGAGATATGAAGTTACCCGTGAATAACTTTCACGAGGCCATACGTGTTACCCGCGGGTAAGAGAAGGCTGAATTT